TTCAAAACCTTTGTTATGGCAACACTAAATTCATTTAGGTTCACAAATTTATCTTAATGAGCCACATACTGTAATTAGTTGAGAGGCCTCTGTCTGTGTGCAATAATAGTTGTTCGCATGGTTTCAGAATAGAAACACCCGTCTCTGTGAGGTCACTTGGTTAGGTATTGAATTATTTCAATCAAACATTGAAGACAAAAGAGTTTTCAAAGCACGTCAGGGATAAAGTCATTGAAGAACACGGATCAGGAGATGAGTACAAATATATGAATATATCTGAATATCCCTTTGATCACAGTGTATTCAACAATAAGAAATACATTGCAAGTATCAGGCTATCCATCCATATTGAACAAATGGGCAAAGAGGAAACGTGAGTGATGTAAAATCAAAAACAACTTTGATGGAACTGCGGAGTACAAGGGCAGAGATGGTAGAACCTTTGTATCAGCCTACAATATACAGAACACTTCTCAAACCTAGCCTGTTTGGTTATAAGAAATAAAATAAATTATTAAAAAATAAACCATCTTAAAGCCCTCATAGAGTTTTCAACAAAGCATTCAAATGATCTTGCAAAACTCTAGCAAAAGGTGTTGTGGCCAGATGAGTCCAAATTGGAACCTTTTAGTCTACTATATATGCCAAATGTAATGTCAGGTACAGACCCAACAAAGCACATTTACCTGACAGGATCAAACCTAAAGTCAAGCATTGTGGTGGCTGCATCATGCTATGTGGTTGCTTCTCATCAAGCAGAGACTGGAAAACTTGTAAATAGCAAAAAATAGGCAAATACCAGATAAAAACCTGTTTTCAGTCTGCTAAAGACCTAATAATTAAGTGAAAATGCACCTTTAATCAGGTCAATCCTCCAAAGCACAAGGCCATAGCTATACAGGGGTGGATTAAGAAGAAAAAAGTGACTTGGAAACTGCTGTATGCACGCTATTCACAAAGAAGTTCAGAGAACACAAGCAAATCTGCCAAAAACAATTGCCAGTCCACAACTTGCCAGTGTGGAATGGTTAAGAGGCCAGCCCAAAAAGACAATTGCAATTGCTGCCAAAGGTCCACAATAAGCAATCTTCATCTTTCAGTTCTTCTCTTTAGTTTTGCTCAAAATTCCTGTAACCTATCTTACCCTTAAAAGTCTTCATTTTGAGCATTCAGGTTTTATAAAATAAAATATTAATTTTAAAAATGTATATTTGTAATATCACAAAATGGGACACCATACTGAATGTATTGTAGGGTCAACATGGTTTTGCAAGGCATAATATATTAGGTGAAATGGTGGAGAGTTAGCTCTTATCTCTTTAAATACCTTTACAAATTAAATTGTTTCTCCTGCCAATTTCTGGTTTCAGAATGACATCTGTTTAGGTAGTAAATCTGCATAGAGCTTGTATGTACTGTACTCCCCTTTTTCGCATTTCGCATGGGTTTCCTCCAGCTTCTGCTATCTTTCAGATTTTCTGAAGTTTCTTTGAAATTAATGTCTTCTTCTAGAAGAAGTTATATACTGTAAGTTCCTCATAGGAGCTTTAAGGAGGTTCATACAGTATGCTCCTTTCAGTTTATGAAAAGAATAGTTTTTGAAAATCAATCAACATATTATACAGAGCCCTGGATGAGAACCTCTAAATATTATATGTGCTACACAAGAATCCCTTTTCTATGAATTATATACATATAGAATATAAATGTACATATATATTTACATATAGAAAAAGACTGAGGCATTATTACTCTATAACCAAGTCATTATGCATGTTAAAATGTCTCGAAAGACCACATCTCATATGCTCCTTAATGAAATGTCTTCATATGTTGGTGTAACTAATCATACCTACCATATTTTTAACATTTATTTAGATTACTAAGACTAAAACTGCTATACACTACTTCCTAAAGCTGAGTCCTCTAATTGGACTAGAGGTCATCCTATTTTTCTGTGCACAAGAAGAAGCAGGCTGTTGTGGAACAGGGCATTGCTCAGAGGAATTCCTGTTCAGCCTGAAGTCTCTATCAAGACCATTTCAGGAACAGTTACATCAGCAGTTTTTTGTGAAACAACTGTTCTATTACAGCAAATAACACAACATGAAGACAGTGGTAATTATATACTGAAGATCACAAGCCACCTGCGGGACAATTCAGCAAAGCTCAATAAAGGAACAATTCTGCAGTGCTCAATAAAATTGCAGGGCTGTGTGTTCAGGTATGTGTGTGTTTAAAATCTGTAATATGACTAAACCACAAAGGTCATTCTTAGATGTACAGTAGCTTAGATGTAGAATTTATCTAAAACATATCATAGATAATTTGTGCCATTGGAGAAGGGGAGTAAAAAATTATATATAAAAAAGTGATTTATGATTTTCCCATTTTAAAAGTACTGTAAATCTACACCCTACTGAAACTACATACTGTAATTATACATACTGTATATGAAATACTAGATGGTGTTCTACTGATGCACATGTGGGGACAATAGGGAACTTCTGAGACAATTGTATCATAAAGGGCCTAGAATGTGCTAACATTGTACATACTGTATTTGAAAGAAAAATGAGTTAATGTTGGTTGTAAAAAAAGTCTATGAATACATAAATCCCTACTTAACCCTATTCAGTGGAATGTTGAGTGTCCATGATGCCTACAGTAAGTGAGAGTCACAGCAAGACTCTCAAGACTCTTTTTAGATTGGGTCTAAATCATTGCACTCACTCACACCATGTGCTTTCAGCATATGTTAACTAGTGTAGACTCATTGATGTACAGTATATGTTCTCCTAGTATTGAAGAATGTTTTTGGATTGGAATGGAATAGGTCAAGGAGTTGAAATAAAAACAAATGTGTGGAGCAGAGGTTAGGATTCTGAAATTGAAAATGGAAGTCAGTGGTTTCAAATCCCCGATGAAATACTTCTATTGTACCCTTGAGCAAGGTGCTTTGCTCCTATTGCTCCAGTATGTATAAATAGGTGCAAATGTTACTCTCTTTGGATAAAAGCATCAATCAAATGAATTAGTAAGTAAAAAGAGTGTTTATACGCTTGCGGAGTGGTGCCACATGATATATTTGTTTTGAAAATTAGGGTCATTCTTTCTCCATTATGCTTCATACCAGCTGCTTCATGGGCATGAACAAGGGTGAGCCTCAGAAAGTTCATGCTTTGCACTATATACTGTATGACTTTTTATGTAACTAGTTTTAATTGAATAGTTTGTGAGACATTGAATTGAGCTTATAGCTGCCACTTAGTGAGCATACTTTTTAAGCCTTGCATACAGTGTGTGTTTTCTGTTGTTTTCTGCAATATAAACTAGGATTGTGCTTGACATTCAGTCAAATAATGTAATTTAACATTGTTAGTAACCAGTCTTTTTTTAATGTTCCAATTAGATACTTTGAAAAATTAAAAAAATACAAAATTATTATAAGATACTAAAAACAAAGGATTCATTTAAGTTTTAAATTTGAGTCAGCTGAAGCACTGAAACATAACGTAAAATTTAAGAAATGCATCATGACTGATCAAATCAGATATTCATACTTTTTGAGTTGTGTGGTACGGACTGACAACTGAGGGATGATACAATTTAAGAACAGGTGGTTGGTAGTATGAAAGGAGGAAAGGCATTAATTACATGTAATAGCAGTCATTCTGGGATTAGAATATGTTGGCAGTGTTGGTGTTTAAAATTGTGACTCGACATGATAAGATAACTTAGGTAAATTTTTGTGCCTATAAAATACTTAATTTACATTTTTGCATGAAGTGCTACCTGACAGGAAAAAAAACATGGCTACTGTATTTCTCTGGAGAATAATTTATTTGCAAATACAATTTTAACAAGCTCCCATATTGCATATTGTTTTCTGAATTATTTTGTTTCTTCATACAGCTGCTGATGTTTTTCAGAAATTGAAATTAACCACTATTTTTGTTAGACCCATCCTATTTGGAATTGTTAAATGTCTGTCTCCTGACTTTCTAGGAACAATCCTTGTACCACTCAGGAGGGAATTAAGACACATGGACATGCCCATCTGCATAGTCCATTCATCTTTTGATATGCTGTGAGCTCCACATCTGGCAGGAGACATAATGCCAGTTAAAGGACTGTCTGATCTCTTGCTGATGTTGCTCAATTGCTGCAGGCCCCATCAAGGCACAGCAGTGGTTTGCTGAAAAACCAAGAGGTCCAGGCCCCTAAACACAATTGTAGCCTGGAGGCCCACAATCAGTTGTGTATGAGATGTCCTAGGCTTGAACTAGCTATAGTTCACGCCTGTAGCTAGAATAGAGCTCGCCCTGCATTTTACTGGACCACTCAAGAACACCATCACCTTATATTATATAAACCATTGAACATATTTGCCCGTATTTTAAGACATAAACAAGGTACTGCACATTGCGATGTCAAACCAACAACACAAGCAGCTGAGTTCTGTGTATGCTGTTCTTTGATACTCGTAATTTTAACCTTCATTTTATTGACACACCATTGTCAAGCAAATGAAGAATACTTTAGCCTATATTTTATTTGCTGCCTTTTTTGTTTTTAAATGAGTCCCTATTTTCATTTTTAGGTCCATTATGTGAACAAAAGAAGGCACCTTGTGACTCACAGCCATGTAAAAATGGAGGCGTATGCAAGAACAACAAGGCAGAATTCATTTGTGATTGTCTACCTGGATTTACCGGAAACATCTGTGACACTAAACTGGATGAATGCATGTCATATGGATGTCATCATGAAATAGCATGCGTCACAGACGAAAATGTAAGTTGTTGTAGCTGTTCAGAGGAACCAATTAATATAAAATGTCACTTAGGAATTAATATGCTGTCTTTGAAGCATATCAAGCTGTGTCATTTTGAAGGTTAGAACAACAATTAATGATTCTGCTTACAAAAAAAGACACTTGTAAAGCAGTTTGATCTCAACAGCATGTGCTACCACAGATTTAAGTGCCAGAATGAAATTGCTATTATGAAATTCTCTATAAGATGTCCCTTGCAATTTTCCATTTCAGCCATTACCAACAAATGTTGTTAAAGTACATCCCGTTTTTTATCTCTGAAGTTCTGAGTGGCAGAAGTTCCCTATTATAGTTAAATGAACAAGAAGAGAATACAGCTAATTGCTTTCCTGTGTGTCCTTCATAAGCCATAACTATAAAAAACCTGAATGAGGCTTACAAATAACTCAAACTTATATGAAATGTATGAAAACAATTAGGTATTTTATCTATATATGGAAGAAAAGCATACAGACTACAGTACCACTGGGTAACAATATGTACATAAGAGTAATGGGAGAGAAAAATATATTTTTGCTTACTGAAAAGAAAAGCAAGATGAAGTAATAATAAAATGATTTCCTATAAAGGTAAAATTCAGTGGCATATTTTGCAGCTTGCCAAAGTCTTCCAGAAGTCACCTTCCAAAATAATTAAGATTTTCCATAAGATTGAAACCTAAATGTATTTTGTTTTTAATTAATATTTTATTCATTTACTCTGAATCTTAGATATTAATCTCTGAATCTTTTAATCTATTTAGGTGGGTTCAATTCCCAACCTGGAGTGCTATCTGGTGGAGTTTGCATGTTCGTCCTGTGTTCTTGTGGGTTTTCAGTGGGTGCTCTGGTTTCCCCCCACAGTCCAATGACACCCTAGTAGTATAATTGGCTTCTATGAAAATTGGCCCTGATGTGAGTGACTGTGTGTCTGTGTGTGTGTGTGACATATCCCATCCAGGATGTATCCTTCCTTGTGCACGTTGCTTGGCTGGATAGGTTCCGGCTCCCCTATGAGTCTGAAGTGGGGGAAGTAGTTAGAAAATGGACGGATATATTTAGTTTTTGATCAAAGCCTGATCTACAGTACATATTGTCAACACAGATATAAACACTGAGATGGTGATGATGGTGATCATTATCATTTTTTATATAAACCCAGAGCCTTTTTGTCAAATGTGTTTATTTGTGTCCTCCATATAAATCCTTCCATTTTCTAACTGTTTCATCCAATACAGGCTCACGGGGGAACGAGCCAATCTCGCCAAGCAACGGGCACAAGGCAGAACACACCTTGGATAGGATACCAGTCCATTGCAGGGCACACACAGACACAAACACACACTCACACCAGGGCCAGGTTTACCAGAATTAACTTACTGTACTAGTATGTCTTTGGACTATGGGAGGAAACACACATAATCACAGGCAGAACATACAAACTCTACACAGACGGCACCCCAGGAATTGAACCCAGGCCCCCAGTGCTGCAAGGCAATCACTGCACCACTCTGCTACCTCTGTGTATTGTGCTTCGTCGAAATCTTCATGCTAAATACTAAGTTGTGGTGTCCATTAACTGTTGTATCTATACTGTACATCTCTTGTACTAGGGAATAAAAACACCTTTGAAGAAGTCATTTTGTTTTGAGCACTTTGAATAATAATGATCTTTTTGCAAGATATAAATGAGTGTGCCATCTTATATTTCCTCCTGCTTTTCACATTAATGGAAGTGTGAGCGTCAGAGGGATCTATGCGGCTCGGCCCCCTGTATGAATAATGGCAGTTGTGAAGATCTGGCAAATGACTATTATTGCAGGTAAAGAGACCTTCAGCCGTATAGTTCTTTAAACACAACTAAATTAACAGTTTGGCAGATGCATAAAACTTACTAGTCTATATTTTTGTGAGGTGAGTACCAATGACCATTCAAAATAAGTATTTATTCATTAATGAAATTTAGTTTACTAGTATGATGTTTTGAGATTATGATTATTAGTATTCACTGTGTGTAGTTTCATTTACATTTCTTTGGACCAGATAAAAAATGTAAAAAGTATAACCTGTTCAATTATTGTATTCGCTTTTTTGTGTTGTTTTCTAACTAGTACACAGATGCTTAAAATATTCATCTAAGGTAATGCTGGGAATTTAAAGAAAAAGCTTTCAGTTTAGGATTTCCATTTCTTTGGGAAATCTCCTGTGTCTTTCACTTGTATTTTTAGTTTTTTGTTTCATTTCCCATTTCATTTACACATTAAACTCCTATAAAACCAAGTATGTTATTTTCTCCGATAAACTATTTTTAAGATCTGGTGCAATAGAAACATTATGTTCTTAAAAGAAAGTGTTTTTGTCATTCAGTCACTGAGTGCAAGGGGTCTAATGGAAAATTGAATAATGCCATTTGATTTTTTTAAAGATGGACATGTCTTTTCCTTCTATGTAACTAACATAGCTAAAATCTCAGTCTAGAACTGACAATTTACTGTACTGTATAAGGCATTCTTCTGGTTTTAGTGTAAGAGTAGCTAGGCAGATAATCATTTTCTTTTTTTTAACGGTTTTATACCTGAAAGACAGGCAAAACTAGCTTGGTTGAGGTTTCTGGACAAGCTCAACCCTTCTGCAGATGGTTTAAGGTTTTAATGATTGAAGGAAGCCTGGAAACTTTTTTGGATTACTGACCTTGAGGTCTGTGGTCAATTTTAGTAACTGGATCCCATCATGAATCCAGGCTCTGATCTTGCTCTTAAATTCAGATGTATTGAAGTAAAAAGATAAAGGCTCAATCTAAGCTGCTCAAATTCTGATCCTATTCTGGCAGGATCAGAGCATGATCAGTAGCAAGATCCTACTTTTTGAGACTCTTGAAGCTGCATCTTCTAAACACATTTCTGTGATCACATATATTTAAATTTAACTAGAAGGAGGAGACTCCATATTATCATTGTCACTTCTAAACAATAAATGAAATGATTTATGCATAACTTTAATATTATTATAGGTTTTATATTACAAATGATAGATGTTAAATATTATAATGGTTAAATTATTAATTATAAACTATAACTTAGCCATGACATCTTTAGTCTTTAGACACCTTTAGAAGCACACCAGTAACACCAGTAAGAGTTTACATCAGCCTGTATCTCTGATCAACAAGATACTAAAAAAACACTGTCACTCTGGAATCAGTGTGGAAAACATCAGCCAGATACATCCAAGGTCTCAAAGAAATGGCGTATACTGACAAATTAAAAGAATGGCACTAGTCAACTAAAACAGAGAAGACCTGATGCAAGTTTTCAAATTTCTGAAGCACTGGGATTGAGCTCAGTTGGATGTTTGAGAATGAACAGTGAAATGTGAACCAGAAGACAAAAAAGGAAAGTATGAGCCAGTTCAAACTGAGAGCAGTAGGCACTAATTTACATGAAAGGGTTGTGCTAGAATGAAACAAGCTACCCAGCCATGGATAAAACCAGTAACCCACATTTTAGTAAATGACTGGATGAGACCCTTAAATCAGTTAGCTAGAGGCAAACCAAATGTGCTAGATGGACTGAGTGGTCACCTCTTCTTTGTGTCCATTCTTATATTTTGTATGTGTTGTACATGCAACTGTGTGAGGAATTGCACAGTAGAAATAAATGTCAAAGATCATCTTTATGTCAATAAATTCAAATGCATTCTTGAATTCGATTACAATTGGAAAGAAAGAGGCAGCCAGTGGTTTTAATAAGAAGTTGATTGAAAAATGCCTCAGGGAATCCACAGATCTCTAGGTGCTTTGAAACAGAGATGCAAGGTAGGTGACTCTGTGGGTAAAATGTGCAGTGTTGTAAGAGAGACTGGAAGATGGTTACCATGGCTTGGAACCTAAAGTTAATAACTATAAAACCACATTATCGTTTGACCCGATGACATCTCTTGAATGTTCTTATGATCTATGTGGTAGAAATGATTTTTTCACAGAAAATGAAGACATTTTAAGTGCAAATATTCTACATTAATTTATTGCAACTAATGACAGAAATTTGTCATCTTTAGTTATTGATTTAAGACACATTTTAGGACCACTATTTTAAATTTGTTAAATACTGATTTATTGTATATTGTAGTGTTTTTAAAAGATGAACGTTTTAAAGGGCCCTTCTTAGTCAAATCCTTTAAACATAATAAAATCTATATGCTGTATGTAATAGTTTCTGTACAGTGCATCAATAAGCTGCTTCTTAACTTTTATTTTCTGGTGTGTGTATTGTGATGGGGTAATGCTATAATGTACAGTAGTTAGCAGTAGTCTGAATGGATGGTGCATTTCTTCTAATGCAGTTTTGCTTCTGCAGATGCCTTAGAGGGTTTACTGGGAAGAACTGTGAGGATATAATTGACTACTGCAGGCTGCTCAGCGTCAACTGTCTGAATGAAGGATTGTGTCTCAATATAATTGGCGGATATAGTGTAAGTAACTTAATATGTGGTAAATGAATATGATGCCTGTAAATAAAAAATAGCATTTTTTTCACAATTCATTAGTGAATTTGTAAATAAAAGAAATGCATGCTTCAGTAAGTGATGTACAGTACGTCTTGTTAACTACAACAGCTGTGTCAAATTTACTACTCTTATAAACCAGCATTCTACATTTAAAATGCTAAACTCTTCTTTTCGCCATAGTTGTAACATTTTTATGAGACTAAATTAGCATTATTCTTTATTTTACATGGAATATTGAGAAATAATCACATGATTTCATGTGACTGAGGAGTTTTATAGTGCTTAACTTTCATATTTGTTTAAAAAATCAAGTCATATTATAAGTAGTTTCTAAATAATTCATTTATAAAGAAAGATGTTTAATTCTTATTAATGTCTGGATACTTTACTTAAATTATTCCTAAAGTGGATATGGGGATATCTTATTTAAAAATGTGTTTCCTTCGTTAAATTCTTCATTAAAGAATTGAGCTGGGCCACTTAAGTCTTGATCCAAAGCTTGCTATATGAAGATCCCTAATATGCTAATCACACACACAACAAAGCACAAAATATAGCCAACCAGTACTTGGGATGAAAGCTTGTTTACAAAGTTAGTCAATGTTCACAATGATTTCCATTGGTGACATGGAAACACCATGGGAGAAAGATAAATTAGATAAAGTTTTTAATTTGTTACTTTTTTGATTATTTTATGATCACCTTATGCCCAGGTGAATGTGTGTGTATGTCTGCTAATGTCTTATGTTACAGTCTGGGGGCAAAAGCCAAGCAAATGTGAACTACTTTTTTGATTTCTTAATGATCACTGCTTTCTATATACAGGATTCATGCTGAAGAGATCCAATAAGTATTGTTTGTTTTTATTTTTAAGTCTTGAATTCACAATTTTCCATTTATGCGCATCACTAATTAGATAACAAGTCTATTTTTTACCTTACCAGATGATATGGTTCATATGACGCCTATGTATGACAGCATTTCGTCTGCCTTATGCCTTCCCAAGATGATACAAGTTTCAGGTTGTTCCAAGCTGTTCACAGGGTAAAAACCACCACAATAATAGTATACTGTATATAGTAAGGATATATAATAGTATAATAACTAGCCAACCAACTGCTCACCCGATATTTTTAAAATCTAGCCTTTTAATTATGTACATATCAAGACATGTATCGAGATATCAAACCTGGACAGTGAAGATAATAAAGCCATTTTTGTTGATAAGAAAAAGACAATAAACTAGTACAATTTTTGAAGTTTACTGTTTGTTTCAGTGCTTAAGGTTTCTTGGCCTGTTTTTAGAATGAATACAAACTAATCAAGTACTTGCTATAAATGTTGCATTTTAAATATACTCTTTTATATTGAAACATGAGGAGTCCTGTGCCTGCAAATAAGTGACTGCATCATTTAGCACGAAGAACAGGCAAAAAGATTAAGCTTAATATCTTAGAAAAACACCTGTTAACTCAAAAGAAGAGAATGGATTAAATGTGCTGCGTACAGATGCATTAATTAATTTCACATTCAAAGGTTACTCAGATTTAATTAATTTGCTGACTTTTTTTCTTTGATCCTCCAAGTAAATCAAGACTTATACAAATCAAATCATATTTGTGAGACATATGTACTGTATATGCAGTATACATATATAGCATCACATTGTCCAATCTTATAACCAAACTATTCATGATGTATTGTAAAACTGTTACATTTGTCATATCTTTGGAAAACAGATACACACAGCTGTAAGGTAGAAAAATAAAAATTACATACACTTTATTTATAGTGTTGGGAAAATATAAAACTAACAAAGGCCCAGTTCGGACAGCTAAGCTCCTTATTGATTTCAATAAAAATCCTCTTTACAAGACCAAAATTTCTATCCGAAACTCTTAAAGCTTACAAACTGCAGAATCCCACAAACTGTTGCTCGCAGATGTCCAGCTCATGAGATGCCCAGCAGCTGCCCTTCTACATAGAGTAGATTTATTTGAGTCAAACCTGGATTTTAGGTGTCTAGGGAGACACTTCAAACCACCAAGATCCCCTCACAGTGACAGCTTCTTGTTACAGAGACATACTGTAGGATAAATTAAGATTTTATATCCTTTTTATTGATGTTGTGTCTGTGACAATGAGGCTTAGCATCCTCCCTTGCTCTTGTGAAAAAATTAAAGTACAGTATATTTAATATCCGAGATGGGAGCAGGATATTTAACATACATCTATCATCCAAAAGTAATTACATCTTAGAGCACAGTACAACTTCTAATCATCCTACTATAGTATCAGTTTGTGATTTTTAGTCCAGAGGGGAAATTGTCACCTACAGCAGTCAATACGTACTGTACTGTACCTTTACCTACAGAAAATTGTTTCCTTGTGCTATCGCCGTACTTGGTAATGTCCAGGCTCAGTCTTCTGAACCTCGCTGAGCTTCTGAGAGTTGTTTAGATCAAGCTTCAAGGAAAATATCTTCTGGCTTATCTTGTGGCTCTCCACTCTGGCATAGTCTGAGATCTTTGGGAAACACATTCATCCTCACCCCAGGTGAATGTGTGTGTACATCTGATAATGTCTTATGTTATAGTCTGGGGGCAAAAACCAAGAAAATGTGAACTACTTCTGTACTTACAGTATTGTGTACCCTTGAGGATTGAATGTTGGGCAAATTATACATGTTTCAGTGGTTTATTTAAGTCAAACATGGTTTTCTTAATAGTATATTTCAACCCTCACAACAGTAACCTCTGGAGAAGCTTCAACACGAAGAATTGTCTGTCTATAACAATTATTTTCCATATACTCTAAACAGATACTGCATATATGTAAATATGTGTTAATATAGTAAAAAATATAAAGTACTATATATATACACTTTCAGTGGAACTCAGACAAACAGTACTTAAAAGTGAGCCAACAGTTTGAAGTTTTTAATTTGATGTATCATTGAGCTGCATGGTATTTCTCCACGTTTAAAAGGCTAAATTGGTGTCCTGGGCCTCAGAGCCATGTTCTTTAAGAACCATTAGCTTTTTACATTCTTGTTCAATTAGTTTTTATATATTACATGCATTTTGTTACAGAGAAAGCAGATCATTTGTAATAATTAGTAGAGAATCATAAGAAAATAAATATTTCATGCAGAGGTCTATCACATTTAAATACAAAATTTAGCAAAACCAAATTCTGACACAGTGGAACATTTTTTGCATGTGAGCTGATACAAATCCATCATGTCCTGTGTACTGTCCCAGCACTGCTGTTTGTGTTTTTCTGTTCTCAGCTTGGTCATTATATTGCACATCAATTGTAATTTGTATTGGATCTATTTAATGGCCAATGTTGGGGTTTGTAACAGAATATTTTGAAAGAAATATCAAGCGTAAAACCTTACGTAGTATAATACTATTTTGTTCAGGCATTATTTATTTGAATAGTTATTTTCTGTCTGATTTCCTTAGCAAAGCAAATAACTGGTAACTGGCTGATTTGCAGATACATTTACTACTACACTGTATTTCAGAAAATGTTAAACATTTTGTAAGACTGAAAGATTCAGTGAAAACTTCATAAAGCCGTACACTGTACAGTATATCAAACAAAAGTCTGTGGCCTGAAGTCAGTCAAGAGATTGAACAACCATAATCTTTGGAGTTGGATGAGATACACCAATCAATAAACTGCTAACAGCCAAACATGCAATCTGGATAGAATGACATACAATAGTTTCTAACCTTTATTACACCACAAACATTTTAATGTGATTAAAAATTAATTACCTATTTGTTGGTGTTTTTGCTGAACAATATAAATGATGTCATAAAGCATCCTTGTTTTAAATAAAATACAGTTTGTTTATTTTCCGAATATAAATACAGAAAACCTTCTCTTATGTGATTTGCAGTGTTTGTTTTCAAATAATTGCGGCTTCCCATTATTGTTAATTCCTTAAGGATTTGGCCAGAAGCATGGTTTCAGCACTGGTAAACCACTTTGTCACTGTCACTGCAGCACACAGCTACTCTTGGGTATGGGTGTCTAATAACAAAATTAATAATGCAGTGCAGCGTTGGTCACAGATTTACACAGCTATTCATTTTGAATCAGTAACTTGTATTTTTTTGCATATTGTAACATCAGACTTGACTTAATTTAGCATTTCGTTATTGGAATAAAGCTAAAGCTTTACTTTGTGTAATACAAATAAAAATAATCAATATTTTATGACCCCAGACGTATTCTGCTTATAACAAATTTATGGCCTAAAACAGTCTGAAAAAGAATTATTTCTTGTACTCTAACATTTTTTTAACAAGTTTGATACTTAATCACTTCATATCTCCTGTAAGATTAAAAAAAACAGTATAATTTTTGCAGTATTTGCCTCTCACACAGAAGGTTTTAGAAAATAAAATGCTTATGACCTACAGTAAGTTCAGTAAGAGTAAATTGTAAACCAACAAGGTCAAAAAGTGCCAGCACAACCTTCCAAACAACTCTTTGTTGGGAGTCTACTATGATTTTTCCTTACACTTGAAATTGAATAAGCCTATAGCAAGATACTGTATTGTTGCTTCAGCTGTTGTTTAGTATCACAGTAGAAAGAGGACTTCACTATACAACTCATCATAGAGTAAACATTTAAACTATATAAATTTGCTCATTTCACATTGATTTTGATGTGTAGTGTTTACAGTATAGTGTAGACACATTATTGCTTTTCACCCGTAAAAGTAAATCATTTAACATACAGTTACAAAGAGTGAAACAGGCTCCATATCCAGCAATTGAAGTGTTTAAATATATTTGTGTGAGAAATGTTGCTGGTTGATTTTTCTGTTTACAGAGTAAATAATTTTATGGCATCTTTATTTCCAAACAAAATCATAAGTGTTGGTGCTAAAGAGATACCTGATTTATCACTTCTCACTCTTGTGAATCAATCACACACCTCAAGTCAGTGGGTATTTAAGAATGAGGAAAACTAATCCCTATCATTTCTATAATGATTTTCATTCTAAAGGATCACAGTGTACAGTGCTTCACAAATGGGTGGGGGCCCACTTCATCCACATCTGGTGTGCAGCACCCATCTGTTTGACTCAAAGAAACCCCACTACACAGTACTGTAGATCAGATGGAAGAGTGAGGAAGTACAGTCGCAGCCATTCAGAACGATTGGCATAATTTACCGTACTGTAAAAAACATGCCACATTACAGCAAATGGTAATGCCCAACACCTTTTTATTTTTCAAGTAAATAAATACCAGTCTTGGTAGCATTAAATTGAGCTACTATCAACTGAGCAACTTTCAACAGCACAAACCAGCACACGTACAGCACTAACAAATGAGACTGTCTCAGTTCCCCTGTGCCACTGTAGGGAGGCTGAGTGATGTTACACCCCCCCAAAAAAATAAGATGCTATACCTTTTAAATGGAAACAGCACAAATGCTACTTTCAATGGCACAAAGCAGAACAGAGAACCAACAGTTTCAATAACTAACAGTGAGGTGGGTTTCACTGTTTGTGCTGTTTGTAGGAGTATCAACTTCACAGAGCTGCTGTATATCAGACACGCTGCTAAGGGCTTAAGAGATTGTGAATGTAAAGTGAGTACTGAAGTGACAGATACCTGTATATACAATAAATAAACAAATTAAACATAGTATGCATATCGGATTTTATTATTAGAGAGTTTATGCAAGACTTCCATTATAAAAAATATTTATTCATTAAATATTTATATTTATTTAAATATATTATATTTTAGTATTTTTAGGACTAACAGCAGTGGCCTGCACCTTTCTCATGGCTTCCCTCTTCTTCCCTATTATTACTGCAGGAGATGCAAATTGCAAACGGATGCATCTCAAGTGTTAATGCTGCAGCCATGGACTTCAGTCTAATATTAATAGTAGTCCTTACACTTACTGTATATACTGTAGCACTTTTTTCACACCTCCACCACCAGCACTCCTCTGGATGATGCAAGGGCAGTGGCAGCCACAGCCCCAGTACGCTCACCACACACCAGCCATCAGCGGGGAGGCGAACAGAGTAATGAATCCAATTCATACCTGTACATGGATTGCAGGAGCTACTGCAGTTACATAACCAAATACAGTTTGAACATGCATCATGAAACTGAAATCCAGACTTTTGTCAATGTATTTACTGAAGTTCAAGCATGTAGCAGCGTCATCATGCGCAGGCTGCAAAGGAACAGGTAAAGGTTTATTCCGTGCTGAAAGAAGAAGAAACACAAAATGTTGGCTGTGGAGCTCTGCTTATTTCTATATTCTTTCCTTAAAATTGTATTATTTTGCATTATTATTGAACTCAGAATCATTAAATATTCTAAAAATATTGAATGTATAAATCTATTAATCCAGTCATTGAAAAAAGGTCCAATATTTCCTTTGACTTAACAGATATATTACTGCTGGTGTTAAATTAATAATTTATTGTCTTTCTGCAGACAACAAGTCCTCATACGTAATGGTTTGCAAAGACTGTTTAATGAAAAAGTTGCTCACAAGAAACTAAAGCATGACATGGAATTCTAGCCTAAATTAACTGTAGATTGAAGACTGCTGAGTTGAGAGAATTAATTTATGATGTGCACATAAGTGTGTGAACTCTTTGTAAGTAAAGAAAGTAAATAAAGTACAATTTGATATTAGAATCTAGTAAATATATTTTAATATACCAATGAAGGTATTGTAATGAAATGAAAAAAAAAATCAAAGTTGCATTTAGTTATTGATTATTTTAATATTTTTCTATCACATATCAATCCATCTGTTTTAACCCTAATGTTATTTTTGTATACATTTACAGTGCATGGAGTGGAGTATGGTCTCATTATTTTATTGTTTTTACTGGGCAGTTTCACTTAGAATACAACATTGTTTTCAGTATCTGAAAATATGCAGTGCCATATTGTCACCAGTTTCTAATTATTTCCTGGCTTGTCAGGGGCATGCATATTTAATCATTTGGAAGATGAGCTGTAATCCTTAGTCTGTAATACAAGACCATATATAGCTCCTTGTTGGTTTCTTTCTAATAAATGTCAAATGTAATGAAAATATTGATGTTGTCCAGTACAACTGAACCATTTCATTACCACTTTTAATTAACATCTAGAGATATCAGGAGCATAAACCTTAACCTTCCATGGAAGAAACAATGAACTGCGTGTTCTTTCTCAGATCATGTTTATGTTTTCCTGTACATTAAAGGATAATTATTTAATGTACAGGGTGGTTACAATGCTTTGCTGTTGGAACCAAGAAAACCTGTAACCTTACATCTAGTTTACCTGGAAATCACTGAGTGCAAACTATGGGATCCTAGTAGTGAAATTAATGTGTGTGCCAAAACCTAACCCTACTGTATATCAACAGCCTCTTGATATTGGTTACCATAGGAGATACTGTAGTATTGGTTAACACAGCTAACTCACTCTGGGGTCCTGGGATTGATTCTGGCCTTAGGCACTTGTCTGTGTAGAGTCTGCATGTTCTTCTTTTTTTTCTCAACCTTCTTTGATCTCCTCTCTTATCACAAAGACATGCAGGATAGTGAACTAGTTACTTTGCATTTCTGTTCATTCCCTGATTGCTTTGAAAAAGGGAGCTGCACAACTATCTCATTGCTCTGTCCTATCAAGAGATGCACTGTTGCCTCTCTGCTGTGCATTTAGAATTGATTATAGTGTGCAAAGATGGAAAAGCTTGACATGCTTACACCCAGTTTTTCCACCCTAATAGATTGTAAAAAAGGTTACATGAAAAGTAACATAAAAGGGATCGCAGCTTACCAAATCTAGTTTTATCTGATTTTAATTTCATCCAATTTATTATCTGAATGTCCACTGGGTACTCAGTAAGCGTAAGCGTTCTTGTGCTGGAAGCGACATGCAAACTTGAGTGTCATCCAGATAAAAATGAAAGACAGGGCAAGGTTTTCTAATTCAGCAGCAGAGTTAACTTGTGGCCTCCATCTTATCGAATCATAAGATGCAATGGGGATGGGGCTGGTCAATTTATGAATAAGAAACATCAAAGGAACACCTGTTCATGACTTGCATTTGTCACGTAAAGAAGTTGCTGTCTTCTCCTCTCCCCAGAATTACCAAACAAGGCCCCACTATGGTGACTGGGAACAGTGGGCCGAAGTCCAGCCAATTTGGCCATAAAAGATCCAATGGTGCTTTTCAAAACAATAAGGTTTTAACCCTGTTGTCTTGATTAAATCCTATTTGGACTTGCGCAATCATCCATTTCTGCTTCAATTCAAATGGTGAAGTAATTTTCTCAAGGTTTCACTTGAACCACTGTGTGAGGGAACAGGAATGGATGCTTTCCTGGTGTCACCCAGGTGCTTGCTGCACTGGAAGGTTGTGCCCTCCTTCATGTGAAGAGCTTTGAGGTTCTTTTTGGGTGAAAAACAAAATATAATTTGCAAGGAATTGTTAATAATGTCTCCTAAAGGTAGCTTACAGATACAACAAAGTAGAACCAAGGATTGAACTAAGATGTGCTCCACGCTATACTCACCAAGTGTTGTGAAAAATATTGTTGGGGACTGTAAACATAAAGAAATTGACTCAAGGAGTGCTGACATAAATTTAAGTTACACCAAAGTCATACTGTATGATAATGTTTCTCAAGAGCTGTCCAGATTTTTCTGTGGTGATAACTTGGATTTCTGACTATGTATTCATGAGAAATGCTTCATCTTTCCAATACACCTAGAAGAATTTGGAGTTGAATACATTTGTTGTAAACCCCCTCATCAGCCTCAGCTTTTCGTATAGACTAAATGCTGCAAGATCAATCAGCCTCACTCCCACACACAACTGATTATGGCAGACATGTATCAGAAGTATATAACACACCAAAGATTGTATTCAACATGTAAATGATTTACAAAGAATACGCCTTTATCACTATTTTGCATTGTTATAATGCATGTGTCTTGCATCAAGTCTCTATAAAGATGGGATGCATATTGAACAGCTAAAGTAAATTACTATAGGCAACTTGTTAGTAAATCATTTTTACTGTACTAATTAGGATGCTAATAACCTTAATCTGATTTTTGGATGAGTGAGAGAACAGTGGGGTCTAACCCTGTGGATGGTGCATGTGTCAAACTGGCACTAGTCCCTTTATATCGAGACATAGAATTATTAATAATTGTGTTCTTAACTTGCAATGTGGTCAGGCAGGCCCTTTGGGGAAACTGTATGTTTGTGGTGTTTTTAGCACAGGGGCTATTTGTTCCAATGAGAAAGTCTCCCTCAAATACTTTTTAGGGAACAGCACCCTCACAATGCATTTAAAATCTACAAAGTATATCATAAAGCATCTCACCATGTTAGTAATCCTTCAGTTTGGATTTTTTGGGATGATGTTAGCTTTTATAATGCTAAGCAGGTCTCTACTACATAATACATAAGCTGGATTAGTTTCTACATCTGAAATCTGTTTAATATTTTTATGTGATTTTTTACAGTGTCTTTGTGCTCCAGGCTGGACAGGAGAGTTCTGTGAATATGTGGAGAATGCATGTCTGATATATCCAGACAGATGCACCAAGGGAGCAACATGTATTGATGTCAGTCTGCCAAAGACACCACCAAAATACAAATGTATTTGCCAACATGGCTACACAGGTAATGTTTTAGTTACTGTATTAATGATCTAAAATACCACATCTTTAGGTGACTCTATGTGAGAATATTTAGTGTTGTTAGTGGTTGAATATGTTATATCTTAGCTAATCCTACTTCTCCAGATTTTGTATTTTGTATACAGTATGCATAAATAGAGACCTAGATTATACCTTGGAATTTAAGTGGTTTTAACAATTTAGAATGACTGGCCATAAAATGAAGAGCAAGAATCTGGCTATGAACAATTAAATGTGAAAGGCAGATGAGCGGTTGGGATAGGCTCTATGTGAAATTAACCACTCCTCTGTGGCTTACTAAGAGGCTTATAAGACCAGGTTTGAAGAAAGAGTTTTGAAACTGAATTTATAAGGTTTAAGTTAAGATATGGCACCAGGATTGATTGCAAATTACTGACAGCTGAGGCTGATTAAACTTGGCTGTTACCATCTCTCCCAAAGTTTTGTTATAAACTTCAATTGAATGTTTAATTATTTATGAAATGTTAAAATGTAGGCTGCTGCCTCTTTATTTTGAGATCATTTTTGCCTTGTGTCATTTCCAGCCCTGAGTGTTTCTGCAGGTGATGAATACTGTAATGGATGTGATGCTTTCCAATGTGTTAATCAAAGTACTGTACGTCTCCTTCCTTACTAGATCTACTTACTGTGTTTCTCTTTTCCTTTCATATTAAGCTTTATATGTGATCAATGATCCACTTTTTCATGTGTTTTGTTTAGTTTAAATTAACTTCATACAGTATTATAAGCAGGGAAACGCAGAATGAACAATCCTTTTACCTAAGTATAGCTCTGAAGTTTTAAGGATTTCATATTTTTTACTTCAAATTATGGTATGATAATGCATATTTACTCAGCACAGGAACACTTATTTTTATCTTCAATATACAGTAAGCATAAAAAAACATCAAAAAGCATGAAAGACATGAACATCAATCACAAAAATCCAATACATTCTTGAAATACAGTATGTCTTTTAAAAGATACTCTGGGTACATTGTGACCTCTCATAGCTTCCAGTACAGTCCCTGTGGCAAGGTTAGCAGGGCCTGAAATTAAGCCGACCTCAGGTGACTTCTTCCAGCTTATGTTTTCAACATGAAAAGACCAGGAAGTCATGAAGTGATTAATTCCATCAGTCACTTACAGCAATCACATTGTGGAAGACAATTTTTCCATCACTGGAGCGGCACTATATGTATGAGTCTTTCACAGCACAGGAAGTTGATAGTGTAAGATGAGGACACCTGCGGTGGGACTGTTGAAAGTTTGCTGTCTGTCAGAGATACATTCCCTTCTGTTTCTTTAAGAATTACTGCAAGAGAAGACATTATACATTTTACCATAAATTCAACCAAATCTGGGCTCCAGGTAATGGATATTAGAATTAATATTAATGGCCAATGAAGCAAAATATAGATTCAGCAGTTTCCCAGGTTTATATTTATATTTCTGAAGGAAAAATGTTTTTCAAGAGAATGGTAGCACATGCTTTTAAACAAGTTCTTACCAAGGCCACGGGAAATTACACAGCCCAGAGAGGTCCCTGGAGCTAGTCGGTTATACAATTAAATTAATTTATTTAAGTAAATGTGGCTGTGTGAAATTAAGTCATTAGTACATTAGCTAAAGTAATGTGAAAGGAAATTTCTCCACAAAAGATGCATTTAGAAATGTTTTACATTACATACAAATTTTACATTTGTAAAGAAATATGTTAAAAATATGTGGTTTATAATTCTAAGTAATTTGCAGTAAAAAGCATGTAATCATTATCTTTGAATATCTTCCTGTAATTAAATGCACAAAATTAAATATGAGATACTGTTTGAGTCAATATGAGAAATCTAGTAACCACCGAGAACAAAATGATACTAAATCATTTTCTTACACAGAGGGAAGGCATCTTTACTTGTGGAACAGGAGGTTAAGTTGGAATTTTGTTTCACACTGGATTTTCCCATTAAATGTAGAAGCCCATCTAAAGAGCACAGTCATTTGTTTTACAGTATATAGCCCTTACACAAGAGAACTGTAGCTTATACTACTTTTGCCCCCTATCGCACTCATTATCAGAAAATTTAAGACATACTACTTTTATCAAACAGAACCTTTCAAGATCTTTGGAAGCAAGTTTTTTTTTTCAATTTGCCACTACCCATTACTGCTACAAGCTGCAAAGTGAGCTTAAACTACCCACCTTTATTTCTGAGAATGCTTTCATTTGGATGGTTAACTATTTTCAGCCTAACACTTGCAGTTGTTATTTGCAGTACTTTACTGTATTTACCCTTTTTTCTTTCACTGCTTTGTTTTCTGTATGAGAATGGCATAGCATCATAACCAGTTTGTAAATGTAGATGTGTTCTCAACTGACGTATTTGCTTAAATTAAGGATTCTTATTATCCATTATGCACTAAAATCCATAATGGATAATACATACATGTTAGCTATACATCACACTGGAATTGTCCCACAATGGAAGTGGCCCTTCCTCCCTTAGCGTATGTTCTGGGGTTGACGTCTTCTGCTGTGCCGGAATCAGCTGCCGGAGGTCCTCCCCTTCCTCTCCAGCCCTGTCTCCAGCCTGCCAGCTCTCTGGACCCTGCTTCAGTCTGCCTGCCTTTCTGCCTGTCCCATGTCGTGTCCTGCCCCTGGGACTCTGCACCGGACCTCAGTGGGCACAACAGTCTGCCTTGTCCCTAGAATGCCTCCCCAGTCTGCCCTGTTAGCATGTGCTTGGCCTGGTCTCTGGAGGAGCCCCGCTCAGCCCGGTTCCTGGCGTGACTCCCAGTGGACAGTCCCGATTACATGCTCCCTGTCCTGCCCAGCTCGAGGTGCAGACCTGCCAGTCCTGCCCTGTCTCTGCTTCTCCTGCCTGTACTTGTCCCCAGTGAAGCACAGTCCATACCTGCATGTGCCTGTCATTCCCCCTGGACAGTGATGCCTTTGCTGTTGGGTCTGGAATGCCTTCTGGCCTGCACTCGCCATTTTGATGGGCAGCACGTTATAACACAAAAGCTGCATACTGTAGATTCTTCCTAGGTAGTTCAGGTGGGTAGGTGCGTCAGCATGCGTAGACTGCAAAGGGAACAAGTAATAGGTTTATTCCATGCTGAAAAAAAAGAAGAAAGAAAACACAACATTTCAGCCATGGAGCCTTCTTCAGCTCACACCTGAAGAAGGCTCCATGGCCAAAACGTGTTTTCTTTCTTCTTTTTTTCAGCATGGAATAAACCTTTTAATTGTTCCTTTCTTCCTAGACAGATTACTGAGTGACTGATATCAATGATTTTTTTTGTGGACATGAATTGCTTGCATTGATCAGAAATTTAGAAATAATGCAATTGAATTTGACGTTGTTTATCTGTCCCTTTTTGTATATGTATTTGCATAATATGCATCTCTGTCTGAACGTCTGAAGACTAAAAATAACTCACCAATACTTTAGGAATTGTGGGATACATTTGCTTTATCCCTCTGCGACACCTTCAGTGGTTACGTATGTCAAAAGAAAAACCTAAAAAGGCTGATTTCATTCATCTGTACCCCTGCCAATGCAGGCAGCAAAATCCTAATCACACAAAATCACTTTTTTCTGAAATGGGACTGAGATGAATAGAACAGTTTGTAAAATCTGCTTAAGCAAAAGAAAACAGATTAACTATAGGCATACTGCAAGAAGAAGACAAGTTTGAGAAAATCTCCATGAAATGAAATCTGGTCACAGCTACACATCTCATGAACTAGAGACACAGTAAATGAGCTGACTCTATAACATTTTAGATGTTCTGTGCATCACCATTACTTATGAATGTTGCAGTGGTCTGCATACTGTGATCTTATCCAGCTAGACTGCAAGAGAGGGTTTCAAACTGCAATCGTTTTGCTGTAATCAAACAAAATGAAAAGGTACCATTATAATCCAATTCAGTAACAGGCTAAAATATTTTCTTTGGTACCATTAGAAATAATTTTCAACTTTCAAGATTTTCAAAACTTTATTATAGAGTACTGAAGTAACATTTCATTAATTATATGAAGTCTCTAAAGAAATTTATTTTACAATAGATTTAAGACTGATGCTTATATTGCGATCTCAACATTCAGTGTGTTGATAACATGCAATGTAATAATGAGTAACTATTAATATATTATTTCATTAGTTTTGTATTTATAATGACTGATTTACCTAACTAACTACTGTTATCTTGTGGCTTATTGCTGAGGAGACTTGGCTCTACACTATGCTTCATAGAGCAACCCCAGAATGGGCAATACAGTATATAATACTAATACACCCTATTTTTTCTGTTAATATGTCCGTGCCTTTTGGTATTGCAACAATTATTAGACATAAAATTAGACATAGTCCATGTATTACCAAAAGGTCAAGTAATGACCAACAAAATGATTGCTGAAAATGTTTTGAATACTTTCTCAAAATGTGGAGAAATAGTCAATTTATTGTAAAAGAGGTTAAGTATACAAACATCTGGATAGAGCTTACACAACCATGGGAAAAACAGGGCTTCTTTATCAGCTTTCTCTGTATTGATGAACTGTGGTGATTTCTTATAATATAGTTAGAAATGCATTCAAATAAGTGCTCAAGACCACAATGAGAAATGCTTATTTCGACAAACAACACATGCTCATTGAAACTTGAATATATATTTTAAAAATATACATTACCCTATCCACAGTATTATATATACAGTATGATCAAGACATTCACTTAGTTATTACAACAGTATTACCTGTATTTACAGGTAATCATTTCAGAGATTATTTCAAAGTTTATACGTACCGTATAACTGAAAACAAAAAAGCATAATAAGTCTAGCTAATTCTGCCTTTTAAAGGTAGGTTTAAAAATTAAAATTACATCATGTAGGAATATTTGTTAAACTGTTGCAATCATGAATAATATTTTTCAAACAATCAAATGTAATACAGTCAAAAAACAGTAGAGAATGTTTAATTTTATGGCAAACCCATATTCCATTTACTTTCCATTCGGTATTTAGATTAGAATCAATACAGAAATAGCATTTTACCAGTGGTACTAGAAAGACTCCATTTTCATTGTGGTTTAATAACAGGAACAAACTGGAGCAATGATGTTTTTAAATATAAAGCAATTTGTGGAAGAAGAAGTATTTGGGATTGTGCTGCAACTCCTATTCATAGCATTCAGCATGATAAAGAGATTGTATGGTATCACTGCTATTTCCTTTAACAACATTCTGCAGATGAGTGATAATCAGTTTAAACTTTTTTATATGTTTGCATGTGGAATTGGTGTTTACTACGGAACGAAAGGACAGGATTAAATCACAGAGATGAATGAAATACAAGAACATTTAAGTCATATTCATTAATACCTTATCAGATGTACAGTATACTGTATCTAGTACATTTTAGTATGAAATGATATGTATAAAGTTACTATCCATATCACCAAAGGCACTTTGTTCTTTAAGGTTTGTAGCATTAGTACTTTTTTTTAAGCAATGACTGCTTTTGGGGAACATGTCAAAAACCAATACCAAGAGAAGTTTAGATATAGATCATGGAAATGGTCTTTTGACACCCCAGGTAGGGTTAGGGTTAGCATTCACACAATACCTAGACAATGATTAAGATCATCCCTGGATTATGAGGCGCAAGTCAAGTTTAGGACGAGTGATTTTTTACTCCTATCTGAAAATGTGTTTTTCAGAAACTCTGGGGCCTAGATTGCGCGGTGCTCCATGTGGTAATTGTATCCCAAAACTGACTCAGTCAGATCAAGACTTGTAACTAAGCATTATTGAATCTTGTTCACTTGCAAGAGATTTTATTAATGGTCTTGATTGTTTCCAACTCATACTTTTTATTTTGGGGAACATGTCTAAAACCAATGCCCAGAGAGGTTCAGATATAGATTATGCATAAGCTCAGTTGACACCCCAGGTAGTGCTAGGGTTAGCATTCACATTCTACTTAGATAATTTTTAATCTTAGCGCTGGATTATGAGGCCAATATAAACTAGATATATAAACGTAGTATGCACCTATGTGCATACTATCATAATCACTAAAGGCACTTTTGTTCTTTTGGGTTTGTAGCATTAGTATTTTATTTTTTTTAAGCAATGACTGCTGTTACCTTATTTTACTGTAGACTTTATGAATTAAGCACTACATATGCATCCATGAGTATAACATTATGAGGTGAAGATGATGTGGGATGTGAGATGTTTTTAGAAAGAATCTGACCTATAAAACACTGGATTAATTCAGGTACTGGAAAGGGGGACTCCCCTCAAACTGAGTGATATGATGGCAGCCAGAGTGTGCCAGTACACTCACCATATACCAGCTAGTGTCCCTGTCACTATACTGGGGCATTAGGACCCACACAGACCGCAGGGTGAGCGCCCTCTACTGGCTCCATTAACACCTCTTCCAGCAGCAGTCTTAGCGTTCCCAAGAGAACAGCAATATGTATGAAGTGAAACAGAATTTTGTGAAGGCAATTAATAAAAAATAATATTACATAAGTATATAATTAATTATATGGTAGCTAATGAGTTGTTTTGATAGGAGCAATTGAAGTATTTAAATTGTACACCAGGGCAGCTCTGGCAAATACTGAAATGTGTCAGGTTGGATTTTATCACCCTTTAGGTGTTGATGTCTTTAGTTAAATGACCTTCACAGTAACTCTGTAAGAAGATTCCTTTGCAGATTTTGAAAGCAGGCCCTGGAAACCGTCAGTCAGGTTTCAGGTTTTAGGCATCAGTCTTTATTAAGACTGGTTTTAGTCACATTAAAGACAAAAAAACTAAAAAAAATGTGCGTGCTACATAAACTAGGCCAGCAATACAGTTAACAACTTTTAAGTTATTTCTTTAAGTAAAGATTATGGTGATATTATACAGAAGCATAAAATATTAGGACTGATAACACAGTGAACTGATTGATAACACTGAACACTCGTATACCACAGAGCATGGGGCAAATTTATGCCCTACTTTGCCATTCTTGTGGATGATATTCTTAAAGTTTATGTTGTTTTGCACTACCTCATTGATCCTCAATGAAATAATTCAGCTGGGATATATGTTCATACTCAAACTTCAGGTTTAACACAGAGCAATGTCTGAATGTCTTTAAAATTAAATTGCATGCTATGAAAGGTGGGAATTGGATGTCACATCTCAGACAACATGCCCATTTTTCATTATGTTTTCTAGGAGAGCACTGTGAGACAGAAATAAATGAATGCATTTCCAACCCGTGCAGACACGAGGGATCTTGCAGTGACTTTGTTGGACACTATAAGTGCACATGCCCCATGGGTAAGTGAATTCCCTCTTTTCTCAAACTAATTTATATTGTCCCTAATATCTTGATACACAATGCAGTCAAACAGAAAAAAATGCCCTTTTGATTGACAGCAAAGCAATCCCATGTAGTCCATTGCCAGAGCTCAGCATTAGCAGAATGTGCATCAGTGTTGTTTAATATTTCCCTTTGATTAGGCAATTGTTGATTCTCCTTCATTTGCCTAGTTTAAATTTTTATTTATTCATGTCATCCTAAACTGGCTGGCAGACGACTGCTGGCAATCCTTTGGCTGTGCAGTTTTGCAAACTGCCAGGGAAGCAGGCAGGAAATGTTGCAGCGTGGGAAGCCATCCTGGGCCCTTTTTGCCATTGTTCAGTATGAATTTTTATGAGGCAATGAAGAAAGTGGTTGGTTAAGTTGTCTGAGGTGTATTTTGGATTTATAGTCTAATGGAGCTTTTCTGTAGAAACCTGTTAAAACCTGTCATTAATCTGGAATTCTTATTTGGTGAAGTGATTATATTAATGAGACCTGGACATTTTCATTATTCCAATGACACCTTTGCAATTTTAATATGCTGTTGATCTAGGCTAGTGCATAGTAGAAATATCAATATGTAGTTTGTTTGACTTCAAAGATTAACTGCAGAGATGCGCCGTACTATATGTTTGATTTTGTAATGTCGTTTCTTTAGAGGAAAAACAATTTTTAATATTTTCGAATGAACAAATGTTTTTATTACGTTTTTAGTCAATTTGGAATCTTCTGTTGTTTAAAGATATTGCTGTTAGCAATCAGCCTTGTTCTTCCTTGTACCTGGCTGAGAGGGAGACACATAAACACGCTTTTCTGACATACCTTGCAGCCTGACAGCACAATTAGTGTCGATTGGAAGCAACACACCTTTCACTCCTCTAGGCTCTTCTGTGTTGGGAGCCATTTGGACCCAGTTGACTCACCTCAGCAGCTCACTACCATTGTGCCCTGCCACATGGGGAATGGCCAGGGCCAGGGCTGTTGGCTCAGGCTTAGACCTGTGCTCTGAGCAGGCACTTTTGTTGATTGAGCCAACATCCTAGGGTCAATGTTATACACTATTTCCTTTTAACATGAACTTACTCTTTCTCCTATCCTCCCTTTTACCCAGCCCACACCTGTTTCTTGGGTAATAGCTGACTGACTTCTTGTTTATACAGTCACAGCTCTTCCTAAACATCTTGATTTCCCAGTGTGATTTTCAGATCACAAATCCCTCTTGAGGTATATGCTATAGAAGGAAGAGGCCAAAGGAAAGTATAACACGTATTTCAGCATGATCTTTATTAAAGCAGTATAATTCAAATTGTGCTGTTTACTTTACCACTGGTCAATTAAACCTACTTAGATTCCCATTTATATAGCAAGTCTGGCAAATGAGATCCAGCTTTCCATAACAAGACGTCAGCTTAGCACTGTCATTACAAGCATCAAAATTACTTCTGTGAAAAATAAGTTATGGTCCATTAACTTTTATTAGTCAGCACTTCAGCCAAGCATTTTAAGTATAGTTTTTTAGTTTTAAAACACTGCAGGGGTACTAAATAAAACACGCAATTTAGCAACATATTTTAAAATAATCTTTAGCTTCTATTCTAGTTGTCCAATGAAAGAAATAGAAAACATTGAAAAGTAGAAAGAAAAAAACTAATTTCAGATGCTGAGCCTACTTCTTATGTGAGGATTTAAAAGAACTGGCTCAACTACAGAGATGTTTTTTATTTTTATTTTTCATTGTGAAATTAACCTCTACATTTTCCTTTGTAGCCCTCATGCTTATGCAGCTCTGCACCGGATAATTAACAAACTCTTGCCTTACTGTAATATTTGTGCAGGATATACTGTACAATATACAAATGTACAAAATATTTCAATGCTACACTTAAAAGATAATATGTGTTTTTATATTTCTGATTAATTCTTTGAGATATACCTTTTTTACTTCTGCAACTACATCATACAATGTCTTTAGAAACATTTGCTGATACAGTATATGTCAGCTTTGATTTTGTGAGCTTATAGTTATATTGCACATTCAAATTGTACGGTGCACACTTCCAGAGATTTAATTTTGAATCTTAAACAAAACTTAAATTCAAAAACATACTTCACTGACTCCATATGTTCGCTTTGTAATTTTCTTGTAATGAAATTATGGATATGGGTATCTTAACTTAACCACAGGAGATAAAGAAGGTCTCTCTTACAGTTTCTTCAATACTCTATAATGAAAACTATCTCAATGTTATTGCCTTGCTCAGCCCTAGAGAAATGATTTGCTTTAAATATGTGTTCATTACTATATAGAAGATTTACATAAACACCTATCTGAGAAATTCGATATTAATCATTTGATTGTTTAATTGATTTTGTATATCCAGACTTAAATCTGCACAAGTACCTGTCTTTCTGTTTTTACTATGCATATTTATTATTTAAAACATATATAATTTTAGTGCAAGGAACTTGACAGCACTGACAATAATGTCTAAATTGATTCTTCCTGTGGCACTTAATTATGAAAAACCTTTGCTCCCTTTTTTCCCTGCAGGTTTTTCAGGACACAACTGTGAGGTGGATATAAATGCCTGTGATTTTCTGAACACCAGCTGCCCTCTTGACTACTTGTGTGTAGATCTGCCGATTGGACTTCAGTATGTGTGCCTCCTACCATGTCCTGGGCACATAAAGGTAGACAAATGGGATTCAGAAAAATAGCGAGTCAACTGAAAAAAGCAAAAACTAATGTACGTACCTTAACTTACAATTATTAACATGTAAATTGCAGACTGGTGCCTGCAACATTGCTGAGGTATGTAAATAACTAACATTAGCAAGTTATCCCAAGAGTGCTACAGTACCACCTTGGAAACATCTGGTTTAAGATGTTATCATTTCCTCTCTCTGCATTGCTGTGCAGGTCCCCTGGCACTGTTTACCCTGAGCTGATAAATGCTTCACTGAAGCATTTGCAATGTGGTTCATGCCTTAAACTGTCATAAAATTTCAAAGCACTGTGGAAAAACCCATTTTGCTGCGTGCCTTAAGGGAGAACTATATTAGGTTGCAAATGTTTAATAGCTTTAATCATCCTGGAGTATTAAGTGTGCAACATTTTTAACATCAGTTTGGTAATAAAAGGAACATGTTTCCTTATAATATAGGTACCAGCTATAACAAATAATATTAGTTGCACGTTGCTAATGCAATTTGTAATAATAAAAACATCTGAACAACAGAATTGTACTATTTTTGCAGTAATAGAATTTCAAATGAGAATACATCTTACATTTCTGCATTTTTACAATGTTTTAAAATGCTGTATTGCTTCACATAGGAAACAAATACCATAGATAATTCATATATTTTGCTTACATTTTTATTTTGTGGTTCTCATGCAGATGCATTCTATGAGGACAAACTCTAGTTGAATCTCTATACTAGCATAAGTAAAAAATGACTTTGTACTGTAAAAGTAAGTACAAAGTGTAAATGATTCTTCAAATGCTGGAAATCTTGAGCAAACCAAATTCAAGAGACCCAGAGACTCTGCCAGAGATCACTGCTGCCTAGTCCAATAGGTAAAAATGCTATAGAAAAGCATCAGTGTTGACTCATTTTTGCTGAGGTTTTGTATACCAACCATAATGTTTTTTATAAGGGTTTTGAGAAAGAGCTCTGTTCTAGAATCAAGAAAGTGGCACAAGAACAGGCTCTCAAGTGTCTCAAGCAGTAAACATGCTCGTTCACTTCACAGAAAGAGCTGCCCTTTTTTAAGATTAGGTTGTTACTGGGTGACTGTGAACCGATTTTCTCAAGGTGCTACTGTTTAAGTAGCTGAGCATTGTCCAGGCTTTTGTCAGCTTAGTGCTCTTACAGTAGCTCACCACACCCACCAATGTGGCCTCTTGTGACCTGTGAGCCTGAGGTTTTGCTAGCTGTCTTACACCTCTGACCAATGCTGACACTCCTGTGCGCATTGTGGGATGGCATGATAAGGAAACCATCTACGGAGGCAAGCATGCTTGGATCTCATCCTTGTTTTGTGAGTCCAAGAATCTCAGTAGTAAAACCAAGATGTTTCACATTTTCCATATCCAACAGAGGTGGGATAAAATGACAATCCCAAATTTAAAACAGCTGCCAAAGAACAATTTCAGTATATTAGATTTATTGTTTTTCTTAATTAAAAAATAAGTTCAATGTTCAGCCCTGCACTTTATAAAGTTAATTGCTTTTTTTATTCATTCCAGCAGACATGTGCAAATGGGGGCCGCTGTTTCCTGAAGGACGCTGAGAGCTACACCTGTGTCTGCCCATCTGGGTGGACTGGACATAATTGTTTGGAAAACATAGACGAATGTGAAGAGCACTGGTGTCAGAATGGAGCTACCTGTGAGGATGCCATCAATGGCTACAGGTGCAGCTTTCTCTTTCCACAACTGTGCAGTCCTCCAAAATGGAGTTTATTCAGCATGTCAGTATTCACTAAAAAATCTAGCAGAAAATCCACTTCTGCTGAATGACAAGATTGTAAGTGTGGATCTACTGAGGCAGAACAAAATACCATATATTTATTACTCAGTCTAAAATCCTTATAAAATCTTGTATAAGCTGAATATATAATTTATATATGCTGCATCTTATAAAATCTGTAGTGAAATCAGGAAATCCCAGGGTAAATGAAATAGAAATTCAAAGAGCTTAACACTAAATTTGGGCTACAGAAAAAAAGGGTGCAAGTAGCTTACTGTTTGATGAGATTAAGAAGGGATGTACCAGACATGACATTACAGCACGTACCTGGAGATTTCAATTTTCTGTCCATAATGTGACATATTGTAATGGGGAATACAGAAATGCAGAATTGGGGTGGAATAACTGAAGTGGCATAGAAACAGTGGCAAGAGGATTACAAATAGATTTAGGAAAAGTGGTTTGTGCAGAAATGATCCACACATAAAGTAGGAGAGTATTCTGTCCATATTGCCTGTGGGTTTGGAGCTGCAGGAAGGTACAGTACACATCAAACGGTTCTGTAGATTCTTCAGTGTCTTTATCTAGACAATATACAACAAAAAAGCAAAAAAAAAAGAATTCTTCAGTACAGTATATAGCAAAGAGTCTAGAATTTAAATCCAGGGATCATTTGGGTCAGACTATCAAATATATTAGTAAAACCCAATTTAGAATATTAGTTCAGGTTTGGTCACCACACCAGAAGAGGAGTAAAACAAAAATGATTCCTCATTGTAGCAGATTCTGGTGACAGCAGATTGTCATATACAGTACCAACAGGGTAAAGGTGCTAAATCAAAAGAGATTGAGAGGAGATTTGATTAAAGAATATTAATCTTAAGAAGTCAATGTAGGAGACTACAATAAATTCATTAGTGAAACAAGGACAACTGGTTCACAATTGGAAACTGAAAGGGAATTCATTTAAAATGTAGAATAGAAAAACACTATAAAGTAGACCTTGAAATCGTATAGGCTGAGCCTGAATCAAATATTTACAATTACAGGAAAACAGACTTGAAGTTTTAAGACAAGAGGAATAAAATCAGACAAGATCGATATGGAATCAGCAGAGAAGTCAACATTTAAAAAATATTTTTTAAATAAATTACAGTAAATACAAATGAAAGGAAATTATTGTATTAAATGGCAAAAAAAAAAACAACAGGATCCAGTTAATGAAAGGAATACAATACATTGTATTTTTTATTTTTGAATATCATATTTTTTTTAATTAAGTACTGTAATTAATTTGCATGTATTTTAATACACACTGAACGTCTGCAGCTGCTTCCTGAAATATTTCGGTAGATGCAGTAGAAGTCATCTTTAAAATCATGGGCAAGAGCCTTTCTGTCATCTAAAATATTAAATATATATAATGGAGCTTCTCCTTTATATGGGGCTTCTAAGGCTTCTGTGTTCCAACCATTCAGTTTGTTAGAGCAAAACCTGTCCTTCTTTTAATTCACACAGATATACAGTATACAGGTAAAGTACTTTTTTATGCTGTAGTGTGCAACCGCTACAGAAGCAATTTAGATAAAGAACTATTGACTAGTACAGGTGATAAATGATTATCATTTTTCTCCTTTAACAGCATCTGTCTTCAAAATAAATATTTCAAATACTATCGGTTGTACTGTATATTCAGTATATACGTATGTATGTATTTTTTATGTTATGTTTGTCTGCATTCTTAATGGATTTTTAAAAAGACATGATCGGTTCAGCTTTCTTCTTTCTTATAAACCAAAACTTTAATCTGTCAAAACTTTTAAACATAATAACAGTCTTCAAAAAATTGAATGTGTCAAAGTTGAATTTGCCTGAAAATAATCTTTTTTTTTTTATCTGTAACTGTTCTGCCAGGTGTGTGTGTCCTCGTGGATTTACTGGACCATTCTGTGAATCCAGTATTGATTACTGCTTGGGAAGTCAGTGTTCAAATCTCAGCACCTGTGTGGTCCAGCAGTACAGTTATACATGCCGCTGCATGCTTGGATATGAAGGGCAGTTCTGTGAAATGGAAATCAATGAGTGCAACAGTTCCCCATGTAAAAATGGAGCCAGATGTGTGGATCTAGTTGGTGACTTCTTATGTCATTGTGCTGTAGGGTTCGAAGGTAACCGATACCACTTCCATTATAAAGTATGACTGTGCTCAACGGATTGAATTTTATAAACAGATTAACATGCTTAAGACCCCCTTTTCTGTAGAAAAAAGGATAGGCCCATCAATTATTTACTGTAGCTGTGAAATGTAAAACAGGCAAATCCTCCACATCTGTCTATTTCTTTTTAAGTATCAGGTGATATTGCATGCCGTTTATAGCATATTGCCAATTGTAGAAATAGTAGATTTTGAGGTCATTCATGTCTATCCCCTAGTCAGAATTTTAACACTTCTCACAGAGATTTAATGGGTTTGAGATCGGGGCTGTGAGCTGGCTAAGGAACATTAAGCATGTTATTGTCACATATCCATTGATTTACAACTTCTGCAGTTTGCAGAGGTGCATTGTCATGATGATAATGGTAAGAAACAGCACCATAAAATTCCATCAATGCAGGAAGTGCTCTGTCATGAAGATAGTCACAATAGGAATTGACATGCATATTATTTTCAATTTCAAAGAAAAGCCAGTGCCATACTATTGTGGCATTAGAATTACGCTCTAGGTTGGAGCAGTCTCTGCAGTGAACACACCTGAAGTCTTTCTGTCTGGTATCCTTCACATTCAGGTCCTTAGCTGCATTTGTTAGTTTGTTCTTTTCATCCTTATGTACTTTTTTACAGATTTGGAATTGTGAAAATGATTATTTTATACTTGTCTAATTGGAATTGTCTTTAATGAATTGGTACCCCTACTTATACAGTACCAACAGGACTGCAATGAAATATGCATTTTCCCATGAAATATCAATCAACATTTAATTGTGATTTTTCATACTGCAAGCTCCATAGTGCCACACAGGAAAGACAGAAGTGGTAGAAAGAGTGTTGCACTTCTCATTGACCACACTGCAGGGTCGCAGATACACAGGAGGTCCCAGATGTTGCTTTTACACGTCGAACCAAAGATGCTGTAGCTAACAAGAACATCTCTCACCTACAGTATTTGTGGTCATTCAGCTGTTTGCTGCTGCTATTCAAAGACTCCTGATCATATTGCGTATTATAATAATAATATAACAAACGTTTTTTTATATAGCGCCTTTAAAGGTGGCTTCTCAAAGCGCTTAAAGTATTAAGTATTGACATTTACAAATCTGAAACACAACACATCTGGAGTAGAGCATGCTACTTGCACTTCAAGACAGTACTGTACCTTCATAGTAAGCTGTACTGAGCACTGGCGTCTCCAATGTGACTCTGACTCATCCAAGCAAAGCAGAAGATAAGCAAATATAGTAAGTGCTATGTGCACACATCCCCGTGTAAGCAGATATATTAACTAAATAAAGTGACTAGCTATACAGCCTTATACAGTTATAAAGATTGCAATACCTTTGCAATCTAGAAGTATGTATTTTAAATACTAAAGTATGTCTAAAGTATACTAAAGTATGAAGTATGTCTTTTAAATACTAAACGGTTCAGTTAATCTACAGGTTTACGCAGTGAAACACTGATTTAATGGTTTTAGACTAATTATTAAAATATTTTATCAAGTTTTAGGAACAATTTCATTTCCACACATTCTTAATACATACAGAACATTAATTATTTAACATTTTAAAATCATACAATATTTTATAAATTGCAAAAAATCCCAGAATTTTTTATGAGTTATTGCCACAAATGGGTCACTGCTCTAAAGAAATTGTGGCTTATAAAGAAGACACCATTTGGATTTATTTGGTCCTGTCTTCTTTAAATATTTTTAGCTTTTTCTGAGAGGCTGCAAAAGAGAAAATCATAAATGTGAAGGTAGCTGTCTCTTTATATTATATTTATATAGGGACAGGTAACGGGTTTATTCCATGCTGAAAAGAAAAGAAAGGAAACACAACATTTCAGCCGTGGAGCCTTTTCAGGTGTGAAGAAACTGAAAACTTCTACTGAGATAATGGCTTTTGTCAGTGTCTGTAAATTTTGAATGTACCCTTAATTAAAATAAAAAGACTTGCAGCTGAAACTAATTTAATATGGATTCTCAAACTTGGAAAGTCAATAAAAGCTTTGATGCTTTATGCTGATTAAATCAATTTAAATCTGACTTTGCCTGTATTAAAGATGAAATACATGACGAATATGATTTCAGTCAGTGCTTCAGTGTTTTCCGTTTCAGGAACGGCCGAAATGTTGTGTTTCCTTTCTTCTCTTTTCAGCAGGGAATAAAGCCGTTACCTGTTCTTTTGCAGCCTGCGCATGCTGACGCAGCTACCTACTTATATTTATATATATTAATATTTGAGTGTAATATATAAACCTCATGAGGCATTTTACCCATATACTGTAGTCTTTTAAACAACAGGAGATTAACCAGAATTACATGTTTTATGTATGTATTACAGTCTGTAAAATTCACAAGGGAATGAAGTACCCAAACCCCCTTATTAGTGACTTCTGTAGTTAAAAGGAGAAATCTTCACAGACAGAGCTCTCCTTTCTTCATATGTATGGTTTCTGTCCAATGATCCAAACAATAGACTACAGTACAGACTAAGAACAACTAAAATCTGAGTGAGAAAAAATAAACTGTTCACAAAATAACAAATACACAAATAAGTATAACACTAATTTAGTTACGATTTCCCTGAAAATATTCTCTCTAATAATTGTATTTTTTTGTTTACATCTAGTTCCAACAGGGTTAAGTGCAATATTTTTATTTTATTCTGAGTTTGATGAATAAAGTGAAGTAGAATAGCACATAATGGTGTTTTTGTCAAATGAAGCAATTTGATAGTAATAGCAGGCTTCAGGCAACATTCATGGACAGTTGTCAAGAAAAACCTGCTGTTTTCTGTTACTCTCTTATCATCCAAATTAGGAATTAAAAGGAGCTGAATTTCCATACTCTTCAGCCAGTACTACGCAACTGTTAGCTTTGATATAGATTGAAGAGACAACAATCTTTGTTTGACTTCTACTAGATAATGGCTTTTGTCAGTGTCTGTAAATTTTGAATGTACCCTTAATTGAAATAAAAAGACTTGCAGCTGAAACTAATTTAATACGTATTCTCAAACTTGGAAAGTCAATACAACCTTAGCCAAAAAATAGTGCTTTGATGCTTTATGCTGATGAAATCAATTTAAATCTGACTTTGCCTGTATTAAAGATGAAATAGATGACGAATATGATTTCAGTCAGTGCTTCAATGTTTTCTGTTTCAGGAAGGACGTGCTCTGAAAATGTGGATGACTGCTGGTCTAGACCTTGTCTTAATGGAGGGTCCTGTATTGACCTTATCAATAAATACCAATGCCTTTGCCCTTTTGGTATGTATCACTGTCCAGTAAGGACCTTACAAATAACAAAGACAATGTGATTCCAATGCCAATTGACAAAACCAAAATAGATACAATGAAGATATATAGATTGGAGGTCTTGTTAGCACTGTTAATAATACACCATAATGAATGTGCTTTATGGTTTATTTTAAGTTGAAAATGCCACTTATTTTTTAAACCCTCCCAACTCACGTGATCCATGGTTTAAAATGGATGTGTAAGCTCCAGAGAGTTTTGCGTTCAGAACAGGTTTATATTCCAAGCTAACTCTGTTAGCCTAGAGGAACTGATCAACAGTAGACTTCTACTGTATGTTATGCAATCTGTCAAATATGAAAAAAAACAAAGATTTCTAGTACCCTCCCCCAGAATTTTAGTTATCAATAGTTTTTATTTCCATTTAATATTAGTGTTACTTTAGCTGCTGCAAATGGTGGAATGGCTCTTGGGTACCAAGTTTGATTTTACTTGTGGCCCCCAAAAAACTTGTGGGTTTTCTTTACATTGAGTGCTACGGTTTCTTCCCACAGTCCAAGGATATGCTGTCTGGGTTAATTGTTGCCTCTGAATTTCTCTCCCTGTGTGTACTTGGTCTATGATAGAGTCCTGACTCTGCCCCCATGTCTCTCAGGCTTCTCCTCATGGTGACCCTGTATTGAACTAGATGATTATTGATGAATAGATGTTCAGTTCAAACAACAGATTTTTTACTGAACATATAGGAATTCCAAAACAAAGTATCAAACTTTAAAACTGCATCTGTAAAACAATTTTAGAAAGTGTACATTTTATGTTTTTTGTTAGCAGTTATTAGCAATTAGTTAAGTGAGGATGAACACTGGATTCTCAAAATAAACATTCTATAATGGAGATTTTAATATGTTAGAAACAAGCAGCATTTATAATACTGGACTGTTATAATACTGAATATTCTTGCCATTAAATGGTACTGTATGCGCACAGTGTCTGTATTTTCTGCAATAGATTTATCAGCTTAAGAACAAAGATTAGAAACAAGTGATTTAGAAATGCCATCAGTCTCTGTCTTGATTACATGATTTATTTTGCTTTGCAAGATTATGTTAATAAATATTCCCGAATGATATATACTGAAGTCTACTGAAGGGAGTCTGAATTGTGAATTGGTACTGATAATGAATTGCAGCTGAATTGATACTGAGCTAAATCTGCCAAAACACTTTAAAAATCCCTTAGTTTCTTATTAAGAAATGTCATACAGTATGTTTGTAGAAAATAATTGGAGCCCATGACCACGTTTTACGCTCCCTAATAATGCCCGAGTATGAAAGGCCAGGAAGTGCCACAACACATGTGTGAGTTTGCTTCAGAGATGCTGTTTTCATGTATAAATGGCACACAAGCTGATCAGTTTTAATAACAATTGAATGAGGTCAAAAATCTATGAAAGAAAGGGGAAATGCTCTATGGGAGTTTGAAAAAAAGTTATGACATGAAATTGCTCAGGCAGTCAAGGTTCAATCCACCACCTCCACAGTGCTACAAACCCAGAGAAAAGCAGCTGTGACTGACTAACTCAAGACCACCAGAAATAACCATCAATGACAGTTTGGTCTTTTATATGGGTGCACCATGAATAATCACTTTCATATACATACATATTGCAGCTGCCACAATTACTGTATATATCATGAAAGATCCAAAAAGCCAAGTGTACTCATTAGAGAATTTTACTTACTGCTACCAGATGCACCGGTGATAAAATCACAACTCAGTGTCACTGGACTGCATAACTACAACTTTAATGGCAACACGGATAAAGAAAAATACCTTCTTGACACAGGGTGTTATTCTCTCATCCTATATCTGATTTTTTGCTGGTAGAGGATATATACAGTATGGAGAGTAAAGACTCTTTGTAAGAGAGTAAAGAGTCTTTGTAAATGAACAAAATCATCACTGCTTTGGTGAAAGTAGCTTTACGTGGTGACTGCAAGAGCCAAGAATCAATCAAGGCCCTTTGGGATCAGCACCATATACAGTACAGATGTTTATGTGTCCCTTGTTCTTAATCTGGTCGAGCACTTGTAGGATGAGGATGTCGATCAAGAATGAGGGGCGAACCATATGCAGCACCACTGCCAGTGTAACGCGTGCCACGCACACCCTTATTCCCACACGCGCACGCCGTCAGTGATTAGCCTATCACTTTTCCCTTTCTTCACTATAGTTCCCCTCTTCCCCACTCCCTGTGGCGGTTAGTCTCCCTGTGTTCCCATAGTAGGCGTACTTCTCCACCTCCTTTCTTTTTTTGTTTGGTTTATTACTGACCTTCGCCTGTTTCCTGGTTTCTCACTCTCGCCCTGCGTTTGCCTTGTTCTACTGCCCTCTACCGGTTTTTGGACGTATTGAAGGTTTATTGGATTTGTCCATTTTGCCCGGCATGTTTGGACGCTACGTCCCTTTGAACCCTGCTCAGGGTCTTTTTACTCTACTCTTCCTGATAACCAGGCAATTGGCATGTTTGAAATGACTATTTTGAAATGACTATTTTGACTAGTGATGTTTCTTCTCTTTTGTACTCTTTCATTTATTCTATATGATATAATATTCTTATTTTTTCAGTTAGTAATTTAGAATTTCAGGCTTACTTTTCTAAACAATTTAGTATTTTATGAAACAAAGACTTTTTTAATTTTGTTTAGTTTATTAATTTATCCTTGAGCATTGTCCAATTTTTAAAGAATTAAATTCATGTTTGGTTTGCAAGCTATAAATGTATGTGTAATTAAAAATTAAAGACACAACAATGATATTGCAAGTGGTTTAGAGGAATGTTTTTTTTACGACTAATAGAAACAAATTATACAATAAAAATGCTGTGAACAACAGTTTTCATAACTGTTTACAAGTTTGAAGGAAACACCATTTACATACTTTTCAGCATATATCATTACAAAGAATTTAGCTCTTAGCAATTTATGTAAAGGAGCTTATATAAATATTCTGTCTCGTTGCTTGTTTTTTGGTCTGTGGGTTGCTACAGGGTAAACATTGGTTGAGAAAACTTTTCTTGGTAATATGAATGATAATAAAAAAAAGCTGAATACTTTATTAATATGAATACAGTATTGTACTTGTCGACTTTGATATATTTCAGTTAAATGGCTGCAGTATTCGTAATCAATTTCAAGGTGATTGTTTGTAAATATTCATGAACCAATTTCTATGTTATTAATTTTCTAAGCTTTTATTCAAGTTAATGGTGAGGGTCTTATGCATATTCTGGAATATCTTTTCCTTTTCATGTTGACAATGGTAAATGAGTTCCACGGAGCCTGGGATTTTTCTTTCAACAGGAGATAATAGCTGCTTACAATTTTGTTCCCCCTGGCATATTGCATGGCAACAAATCACTTCAAAACATTATTTCAAGAACCTAGATGAATATATTTTCTTTTGTTTATGAAAATGTAATATCATTGTTAAGAGTATTAAAGCTTATAACGGAATGTCAGATTGTATATTCACTGTTTGTTTTTGTTTGCTCATCAAAATGAACTACCATAGAATTTTGAGTTTTTTTAAAGATTCGTTTAACTTTATTTCAATGCATACTGTATATTTACAGGAATATAGGAAATGTTTCCAATGAGAATAGGCTATTTTACATCCAAAAGCCAAGGCTTTTCTTGATGGAAACTCAGGTCTCAGTTTCAGCAACGCTTCCAGACTCCAGCAAAGATTGTGTGTGAAAAAGTGCCTTCTCATCTCCTGGTTCATTGTTGTTCTTTTTGGGGTTCAGTTTGTCAATGTCTTTGACTAAGCCACATGTACAGTACATGTGGATTTTCTTTACTTGAATCAGGTCCAATCATACTTTTCTCTGTTCATGACTAAACAAATTCAGTCACTTCAGAAGTAAGGCATTCCTTCATGCCTAGAAATGTATTGAATTGCTTCTCTTAAGGCTGATTACAGAAAAAGAATAGATTTTTTGTGCTGATAAAATATTTACAATATTCTCTATATCTTCACTTTGTTTGCATGTTTTGTTTCCTACCTTTGTTAAAAAAAATTTAGACACTTCGGTCTCCTTAAATCTTAGTATTTTTTAAATCTTATATTTATATTTTGTATTGCTGTCTGCTGTCCCACTGTGCTCTTGTCTACATTGTGTCATTTGCCTAGCATGTGCCCAGTCCTGAACTTGGTTTAAATCAGTTTTTAAAGCTTTTACAGCTTATTTTGGAATCATCTTAAAACTTGACTAATTACTACACCAGCATTTAGATCATTTAGATAACATACCAAGAGCCATGGTTTTACTGAAGAAGAGAGGGGTACTCCAGAGTCACCCAGATTGAGCTGTACACTGTTGAGAATGCCAAATTTGAGTTTTCTGGCAGACTTGTCAAAAGCCCTCTGTACATCTTAGGAAGCCATAATGTGCCGATGTCTAAAAACATTAACAAGTTAAACTGGACTTGCCTTTTCTAAATCCATGTTGACTGTTGTGTAGTATTCTATTGCGTGGTAACTCTTTTGAAAGAGGTTTCTTCATGTTGCTAGAATCTGATTTCTTAAGCACATTTAAAATTATTTTAAGAATACATATTATTAAAACTATAGCTTTATCACCCCCCTCCCACTTATAATATCATTTTACTAAAGGTTCAATGCCTGATTTACATGTTAATTTATTTCTGTTTCAGGGCAACGTTTAAACTCCTATTGTATCTCAAAATGTCCAGGAAATAAGGGACAAGCTGGCAAACATAGATATAAAATTAGTATACAATGGATGGTAACAATTTAAAGATTATCTGCTTGAAGCACAAAATAGAAAATTCCTGGGAGTAAGTAGATTAAATGCTAGAAGCATACAGTAGGAACAAATGGCTTAAAATGTCAATTAAGGAAAATACAAAGAGAAAAAAGGCACCTAATAAAATAATTTAAAAAATCATGATGCAGTAGATTAAATTAAGTACAATAAATTGTAAGCA